CCCAAAACCCCAAAACCCCAAAACCCCAAAACCCCAAAACCCCAAAACCCCAAAACCCCAGGAGGATAACATTTTATTGAAGGCCTCTCATTTCTACAATATCCTTAAACTAATTCAGAACTCCTTCTCTCTTCAATAAGTTCAAGATCCTCTAACTTTACTTTCGATAAGTTGTCTTTCTCAATAGCAGTTGAGATAAAGTCTCCTACTTCCATTAGTTTAGGAAAGTCAACATCATGCTCGATCCCTAATAGTTCAAGCATGTAGAGGACATCTTCAGTTGCAACATTTCCACTAGCTCCTTTGGCGTAAGGACAGCCTCCGATACCTGCGACACTCGAATCGATTACTGAAACTCCTTTAGCTAGAGCAATAACTAAGTTCTCAATTGCTCTATTATAAGTGTTATGGAAATGAGCTGCTAAGTTTTCAACTGGAACGTCGACAGCTTCAAGCATAGCTATTGTTTTGTCCATTGTGCCAATACCTATCGTATCTCCTAAGGATATTTCATAGCATCCCATATCGAATAGCCTTCTAGAAACTTCAGCTACTGTTTGTGGATCTATATCTCCTTCGTAAGGACAGCCCATAACTCAGGATACATATCCTCTAACCTTAAGATCGGACTCTAAGGCTAGCTTCATTACATCTTCGAATCTATCCAAACTCTCTTCAATTGTACAATTGATATTCTTTTTCGTGAAGCTTTCAGAAGCAGCTCCAAACACGGAAACTTCTAATGCTCCTGCTTTCATTGCTCCTTCAAGTCCTCGAAGGTTTGGAGTTAGGACGGGGTATGAGACACCTTCTTCTCTAGTAATTCCAGTCATTACATCAGCAGCATCGCCCATTTGTGGTACCCATTTAGGAGATACAAAACTGGTTGCCTCAACTACTCTTAAGCCAGTCTGGGATAATTTGTTAATTAGATCAATTTTAGTCTCTGTAGGTACGATTCCTTTCTCATTTTGGAGCCCATCTCTTGGACTAACTTCCACTATTTTTACCTTTTTTGGGAACTGGGCCGAAGCCAAGATTTCAGGAAATTTCTGGTAAGCTCTTTTAACTTGTTTGACTACCTCCATGATATTTCAATTAAGAATAAAATGAAAGGGGTTTTGGGGTTTTGGGGTTTTGGGGTTTTGGGG